TTTTTGGTCTTTTTTCTTTTTTTTTTTTTTTTTTTTTTTTTTTTTTAATAAGATACAGAGCATGTACCATAACTGAATCCCAATCTGTGCAAAGCCAGCTTCTCAGAAAATCTCCAGCTCATAGGCCACTGCACTGTCATTTCCAAGTGTGACTCAAGTCTACAAGTCTAACACCCAACCAGCTGTCCCACACAGGCGTCCATGGCATCATGCTCACACAAATCTCCCCAAGAATCACAAGCTCCCCCAGAGAAATCCTTTTCCTTCAGAGCTTGCTTCCAGCCAGGACACCTGCACTGCTCCTCAAAGAAAGTCTGGAGGGGGAGTAACGTGAAATGCCAGGGAACTGAAGCCTTGAGGTGGAAGACAACCAGCTCCCTTGTCGATTTCCTGGCGTCATTTTCTATTTCCTGACCACACAAAATACTCTGTTTTCATCCATCCCAACATGGGAAATAGCAGTTCCAATATTTGAATACAGTAATTCCCCTCAAGAGATGAAATATTTTTATGAACCATCATAAAAGCAAAGAGCATTAGCAAGAGCCATCCAGACAAAGGCCTGGCTGTCTCCTTGGTGACAGGTTTACCAGGGCTTGTGCATGAGGAAGGAGAAAGGGGTTGATTTGCTCTGGGCTGGGTTGGTCTGGGGAACTTCTCTCGTTAAATCGCATAGTCTCTGCTCTGCCCTCAGCTCTGTCTGTGTGTTTTTTAACTGACATGGTGCTATTCAGGCACGGAGATGACTTCTACTCACAAAGTATCCCTGTTCTTTTTGCTCTTGTCACTTTTTCACTGGATTTTGGCAATCAAGGTCAAAGTTGAGAACCAGCACGACTTCCGGGACATGGCCAGCATAGTAGCCATGGCAAAAACCTACGCCACCACCGAGCCGTTCATTGACTCCAAGTACGACATCCGAATCCAGAAAATTGGCAGCAACTACAAGGCTTACATGTGAGTGTATAGCTATGCCAGAGTGAGATGGGGGAAGAGACAATGCTGTGGATGTGATTCAGTCAGTGTCTGCTCTGGGCAGGAGTAGGAAGCTGACTTAATTTCCTTGAAGAATAGCTCTGCTGTTCTCCTCCCGTCTCTGAACCCAGATCCCTTATCCACTGATCATCTTCTCCGTTACTCACCATCAGCTGATGGTTTCTGGAAGGTAAATCTCTCTCTACCCGTTTCTGATATTTAGTTAGCTTCCACTGTAACAACTGTGCTCTGCCATCACCTATCACCTCGCCCTCCTGTTGTCAAAGGCTTGATTTTCGCAGCAAAATCCTCCAGCTCCCAGTACCACTTAGTGGGAACTGAACCCACCCCCTCCCATTTGGGGAAAACAATAAAAAAGACCGAGCCATCTTCAACCCATGGAGTCCTACAGTGTCCAACCCATAGCAACACCCCATCCTCTCCCCAGCTGGAGATCACAGCACCACAATCACACCAGGGCATGGGGAGCATGCAGCACTGGGTACAAATGGCCTCAGCCTGGCCACCGTGCAGGGCTTCTGTGGGCATTCTGCCTGTGTGCTCCTTGAAGCATACAAAAGAGGGAAGGGAGAAGGAAAGACATTTCTGTGGGTGCCCCAAAGCTCCTCCCTGCCCCAGGGGTAATGAGGGGGGTGGCATGAAGGCAACCTTCAACACTGGTAGGTTTAAAAATATTAAAAAGCATTCAGACAAACTTCAGTAGTCATCAAGCTCAATTAAAGATGTAACCACATGAGTCAGTAAGACACCTGTTTCTGCTTACTGCAAATCAGTAGATGAGAAAAGCCAAATAGCACAGCTTCTCCAGAACCTCCTTATCCAGCCACAAACTTCTGGAAAAGTAGACAGCTCCAGCAGTACATTCTTCAGGTTGCCAGATAAATTTCATATGTTACCTAATACCCATAACACTGTGAGTTGTGGGTCGACATTTACAAAACCCAAGGCCATAGTTCTGGTGAAACATAGTTAAATAAGATAATCAAATGTACATGATCACATATTTTTCAGCTATCGCTGCCTAAAATATCCAGGTGGATTCCTAGCACCGAGGTATTTAAGTAAACTAGATAATGACTGAGTCATATTATTCATGGGAAGGACTTGTGGGATATTCAGCTATTCATATGAACTCAATGAGACAAAATTTGTTTTAAATCTGATCAGGTCAACAATAGCGCAGTTGCCTAATATTACATTAACATCTCAAGGAGTCCGGCTCAAACTGGCCAAAGGAAGGAAGGTTTAAAATATCAATTAAAATTCCCTGTTCCTGCCAATCTACGCAGCCTTGGCTCCAGAGCCTGCTCCCAGCCCGCCTCTAAGTGAAACAAAGGCCCAGTTAGCCTGACCATATCTTCTCCCCATTTACTATTCACAGTCACTACGCACTCATCCAGACAGGGATCAGAAATAATACCAGGTGATTGAGGAAAGAAAGAAGTCACACTGAGAGCTAATCCCACTTGGGAATATAGCTGCGCAAACAATTGTTTGCTAAATGAAAAATGTTTTCACATGAAAACAGCCATGAACGGGAAACACCTTAATGAGAAATGAAGCTTATTAGCAACAAAAGCAAACAGCAAAATTCACCCAGCAACTTGCTAACCCAGAAGGTTGACTTATATTGACAGAGCCATTTATGGACATGAGCTTGGGAGAGTGCTATAACCAGTCCCATTAGGGGCTGTTCCTTCTGTCCCAGCATCAGACAGAATAGAAGGTTATTTCCATCCTATAAATAAGTCCCTACTATGTCCAAGGACAGAGCTAAAGCACCCAAAATATCAGGGCTCTCACTGGTGTCTCAAATAAAAGACTAAAAACCATTAGTCGTGCTAACAAATCTCAACCTTAAAGGTAATTTCAGCATCTGCAGTAGCATAATACTAAGTGAATTGCTTTGATCTGTGGGCCATGGAAACTACTCAGTATTTTTATACCTTTATCCATACATTTAGACTTTAAAAGCCCCCTTCCTTCTGAGAAAGGACTGTGTATCGAAATTCTCCAGAATATGTTTACTTTGCACCAAGCATCTGCCAGAGGGAGGATGCTGCAGGGTGACTCATGCATTCCTCCCCGCCCCAGATGTTCAATGCCCTTCCTTCCAGCCCATGACCCAAGGCCTGAGTTCAGTTTCCCATTGACTTCAGTGCAGTGACTCCAGATTTATACTAGTAACAAACACCTACTTAGCCCATGCCTTGGGCCAGTCCCAAAACAGCAGATAAGCAGCATGTGATACATGCCTAAAATTCCACCAATAGTATTTGACTGACATTGTAATACTGGTGAAGACAAAACATGAATACTGCTCATGTGGCAGGGGAAATTGGGGCAGAAATTATACTTCTACTCTCACCCCAACTGGAAGCAAGCAGGGATAATTTCCAGTTAAGACTCATGAAATGTTCACTTTCAATGAAGCCAGCACCTGCTGACTTTCCAGGGTGGGATATGGCTTGCCATCAGCTCTCAGTAAGAAGGCAATATCCTTTCCTTTCTAGTTTCGTGAGGGTGACCTCTGATTTTGTCACCTCAAATGTGGTTCAATGTGCTCTGCAGGGAATACAACAACAGCTGTGTCTAAACTAGAGTTACTTTTAGACTGAAATGGCTCACCTGGGAGATGGTGAGTATAGGACATCAACAGCCCATCATCTGCTACTCTATCAACTTATCCTAAGCAATGCTGAAGGTGCCTTAGTCACAAATCTGCTTGATCAACTCATCTCTAAAAGCCTAGTGGTCCTTTCCTTTAAGACGCTGATTGTACAGTGTTGTGGTCCTCTGATGTTTAGGATGATTAGAAGCACTTTGACTTTCAGTCCCTCAGAGAAATGTGGCAGGGTATTTTTGTCATCAGTCTCCTTTTCCACCTCAGTGTGAATACAAAAAGGGAAAGAATAAAAGAGAAGAAGGATAAGAATTTGATGGCAAACTTGACACCTGAACTTCTCAGGCTTGGAAGGGTGTGATCTTGACAGACACTGTGGTGTAGGAATTTGGTGACTGGTCCAGAGGGCTTAAAATGAAGCTTTTCCATTTAAAAACAGGAAAGCTTCCTAACAGGAAAGTTAGGGATACAGCTGAGAGAAATATTTTATATCTTATGTCCAGTATTGGCTAGAGATGGGTAGGCATAAACGAGTCAAACCAATCAGCACAACAGGTAGAGCAGAGTCTTTATTTTGGGAGCTTTCCCACATCAAATTTCCTTGTAAAACTGTACAGCTGTGGTTTGGTTTTCTTCAGGACGACACAGCTGCTTACATTTTTTATGCCAGGTACATTTCCTAAATGCTCATATCCAATCATCTTGGCACTAATCAGACTCCGGGAATTCTCATAAGTACTAATGGGATTCTGTATGCCATCTGCCACTGCGGGTCAATTTTCTGAACCTAAATGTTAATAAAGAGTGTTTCTTCCCATTGCAGAACTGAAAAACATAATCCTAAGAATCCCATGTCAAAAGAATAAGAGAGGCTGAAGGCTGAACACTGACCTTGCAGGCCATCAAAGGGTTCATAACAGTCAAACTTGCAGAGGAAACAAGAGCAGCCCTGCAGAGAAGGACTTGGGGGTATTGGTGGATGAGAAGCTCAACATGAGCTGGCAGTATGCACTTGCAGCCCAGAAAGCCAATCGTGTCCTGGGCTGCATCAAAGAATTGTGACCAGCTGGTCAAAGGAGGTGATTCTCCCCCTCTACTCTGCTCTTGTGAGACCCTACCTGGAGTACTGTGTTCAGATGTGGGGCCCCCAACATAAAAAAGACATGGACCTGTTGGAGAAAGTCCAGAGGAGAGCCACGAAATTAATCAGAGGGCTGGAGCACCTTCCCTATGAGGACAGGCTGAAAGGAGGACAGGACGGGTTGTTCAGCCTGGAGAAGAGAAGGCTCCGAGGAGACTTAATAGCAGCCTTCCAGTACCTGAAGGGGGCCTACAGGAGAGATGGGGAGGTACTCTTTATCAGGGGGTGTAGTGATAGGACAAGCGGTAATGGGTATAAGCTCAAAGAGAGTAGGTTTAGACTAGACATTAGGAAGAAATTTTTCACACTGAGGGTGGTGAGACACTGGAACAGGTTGCCCAGGGAAGCTGTGGATGCCCCATCCCTGGAGGTGTTCAAGGCCAGGCTGGATGAGGCTTTTAGCAACCTGGTCCGGGTGGAGGGTGTCCCTGCCCATGGCAGGTGGGTTGGAACTTTATGATCTTTAAGGTCATTAAGGTCCTTTCCAACCCAAACCATTCTATGATTCTATGATTATTTTGCTTAGAAAATAAGATGGATGTCAGGTGAAGGGAACAAGGCACAAGAGTCAACTATATGGAAAGACAGTTATTCAACACAGTAATCTTGCTCCTTTGGCCCCCTTCCCACTCCTTTAAATGTGGTTACAAAGACCATTTAAATTTCAGAGCAACTATACATACCACTTTAGAAGAGAATTGGAAAAGGACTCCAGGCTGTCCCTCACAGAGTAAAGGGGAACCTTAGGTAGTCAGCAATGATGATCACAGAATCATAGAATCATAGAATGGTCTGGGTTGGAAAGGACCTTAAAGATCATCAAGTCTGCCTTGTGCCTAAGGTCAAGAAAGTGAAATTTTTCACCCCTTGATGGATGATGGTGAAACACAGTATTTGTCAGCAACAGTACCTTTTTTGGAAATTAACCATCAGTTGCAGTTAACGAGACTCCAACAATTTTGCAATTATAAATTCTCCAAGTCCAGACACAGTGAGCCACAGACAGGTCAAAGAAAAGTCAGTGAAAAAAGGGTATAATCATATATCCTATGACATCAGTACAGTTGAAATCAAAGCTAGGGAGACACACAATGTCAGAGCTGACATTTGTGAAGCTGCTCAGGCAGATGTTTGCCTGGAGAGTTGCTCTTCCATCGACGGAGGATGCTACCTGTCGCAGAACACAAAGGTGATTATCCCAGAGATCTTCTACAGTCATTTCAGCTCTCCTGGGCCTGATGTATAAAGAAAGAAAGTACTCACATGTGTGCTCAAGATTCATTGGAGGTTTCCCTGTCTAACTGTTCATTCAGTTTTTCATGAGTCTGAACAACATGTACTGTATGGAGAGTTGTTGAGGCAGGATTTGGAAAGGCTTCTGTGAGGAAGAACCTCGCCTCATCCCCTCCTGTACAAGCACTGAGTCAAGAATGAGAACTACAGTATGAGGGAGGATGGGGCAGGAGTGCATTTACATGTTTGGGTTATGTTTTTGGTTTGTTTTCCTAGGAGGACGTCCATCTCTGGAAATTGGAAGGCAAACACAGGTTCTGCGATGCTAGAACAGATTGCAATGACAGAGAGGTAAGGAAGAGGGTTTCAAGACAGTGTTAGCTGTTCTTGGGTTAGAAGGGAGGAATTGTATTTCAGACTTTGGTTAATTGAGAGGACGGTAAGTGAGGTCTCCTGGGAGGCTGGATAAAGGAGTTTAAAAGACCAAGTGTTTCCTTAAAAAAATACTAAGGGCACGAAGGCAAACTGTCCTGTTTTGGAGAACAGGCTGGAAGTACAGCTAAAGACCATTAGATCTTTAGTGAATGTAGCCACAGGAAACAAGGCTGGCACACAAAGGTCAAGCATATGAGCACAAACATGTAGGGATAAAATCAGAAAGGTCGCAGCACAAAACAAGAAGTAACAAGAAGTTATTCTAAGTACATTACTAATGAGAGGCAGACACAGAAAAGTGTTTTTCTTCTGCTCAAGAGAGGGAAAAATCTGTCAGTTGAAGTGCTGAAGGTGCTTTTTTTGCATTAGTCTCCCAAAAGTGGACACCATATTTTAACTAAGGTCTTCTCACTGCTGAACAGAGCAGAATGAATTGCCTTATGCATCTTACAGAGTAACATTTGTAGATGGTACTTCCATATATTCAAAACACTGTGATATTTGCTAATATAGCAACTGCATTGCATGTTGACTCATGGTAACCTATGCTTTGCTGTAACTCCCAGACCCTATTCCACAGAACTGCTATCAAGTCACTTGTTCTCCATCCTATTTAAGTAGATTATTTGTAGATTCATAGAATCCATAGATTAAGTGTAGGCACTCAACCCTAGTGAATCTAGGATTTTTTCAGATCATACCTCCAATTTGTCAGGATCCTGATTAATTCTGACTCTATCCAGGTTTGGGCACCACATTTGAAGACAGATAGCAAGGAGCTGGAGAGAGCCCCAAGGACAATAAAGGGAATGCTCACAGATGAAAACATAATCAACCTGTAAGAAAAGAAAGCAAAGATTGCTTATGTAATTTTTCCACCTTTTTCAGTTAGAAGATCACTGATATTTTTCCACTAGAGGTGTGGACTTGTGTGTAATGAATGTATGCCTGCAGTGCAGAGGTTCACTTTCGTTCATTAGCTGTCACAGAGCTAGAAGAAGTTGTCCACAAGCTGAACACTGCTTCATCCTAAAGACGAAAAAACTTAAAGGGCAGAAGGTCTTAAAATATGGAAAAGGCTGCTAATACGGCATTACTCCCTCTTTAAATTACTAGTACAATACTTTAAGAAATAATGAGCTTAAATTATAGCAGAAAGGGTTTGTTTGAAAATAGGAAATATTTCCTAACAGTAAGGATAGCATAGCACAGAAATGGATTGCCTGGAGGAGATGGGGAATCTTTGTTCTCTTTCAGACCAGATTGTCTCCTCTTTGGGTACAAGAGTTGTGCAGATGACCATCTAAGGTCCCTTCTGCACCTTTAGTTCTGTGAAAGAGAAACCAAGCCAAGACCCAAATCAGATGCTGAAGGTGACTGTGCAAGACCCTAATAGGTCAGTTAGAACTGGACGCCTTATTATGCAACATGGTTGTTTACAACACAGCTGAAGCTAGAAAATGAAGGGCAGACATACCCTCATTGCAGTGTTGCAGGACTAAAGTCCAGATTCCTGTCAACCTACTACACCACATTTTGAAGGTTCATTTTATAGAGGCAGTACCACAATGCACCATACTAGCCTTATCCAGCCATAAATGCAACAAATCCTGTTGAAATCTGTGAGTTATCAGTGCGTGCAACAAGGCAGGAGCATGCTGAAGTGCTTTGCTGAGTAGGAACAACCTGAAGTACCTACTTCATGGAACAGTAGTGCAAAGGATCGACATGTCCAGGTAATACTAGGCAAAATGGCAGTAAATCCTCTGGAAATGCTACCCCTGATGCATATGCATCCCACCCCAGCAGCCCTGCTGCCTCCCAGTGCTCACCTAGGGCCAGCAACGGTGAAGACACAGCCGGCCAGGGCACTGGCATGGGCAACAATCTGAACCCAGACACCTAAAGACATCTCTCAGGAAGAGAGGTGGTTCCCATGATGGTGGTCCCGGGTGTGGGACCACAGCAGTGCATGAGCAGGGCTGGCAGTGCCTCCTGCCTGGCTCACAGGGTCCATAGTTCTCCTCCTTATGCTACTGACTCCTCCTCAGGCACTTTCTTTCTCAGGGTGGCTAGGGTAAATGTGCTTGGTCTCGTCGTTAGGGATAAGAGAGAACTGGTAGCCATTTGAGCTATATTCTTGCTTCTTCCTGAAGACATTGTGTTTGCACAAGTTGATCATTATATTGTCAAGCTATGGGGACTCTGGCTGGCTTCAAGGATGTAAACTTGTTCTTTGGCCAGAACAGCTCTTTTTCCAGTCCCTGTAGGGTCTGCAAAATGTCAGCTTTTTCATGAGACTGAAGCCTCCCCTCATCTTGTCATAGTCCTGTTTACAGATCTGGTGTTCGGAGATTATTATTTTTATTGAAATGGTCGGGACTGCGGTGCAGCTGCACAGGAAATAAAACCAGGCCGCCTCATTCTCTCCTCGTTTCCACAGCAGGAGGATGCGGTCGCCCCATAATACGCCTCTTGTCATTCTCTCTCCTTCTCTGACTCCAGGGTAGCTAAGGGGGCACCCACCAGGCCCAGCGCCTGTTCATACCAGCTCACGTTCCTGTTCTGGGACAGCTAGAGAAAAGGGCTGCAGGGTGCAGCTCTCTCTCTGACAAAGCAGTGCCTGGTCCATGTGTTGGGACTGCCTGGCTAGAAGCAGCACCCAAGGGACAGAAGGGAGGCAGGAGACTGTAAAAGGCTGAAATTGGAAGAGGAAATTGTAAAAAGCAGGAGCTGGTGGGTTACAGATCAGGGAGGGGAGGACTACTCCCTGCTAAATTCTGCACTCACTTTCCGATCCTATTCCAGCCCCAATGTGCAGGACATCTTATCAAGAGAAAGCTGCCTGCATAATGAAGGGCTTTCAGGCAAAGCCAATACAAACGCTAAGGGGCCAACACTAGTGGGAGATTAAATGAGCTAAATATTTACAGCTTGGCTAAATGACAACCAACTGGAGATGTGATGTAAATACCAAGGAGAGAAAGAAACATTTTAAGGTGGCTTTGAGGGTAGGATTGAAACAATCTGAAATGAAGGGAAACTTTAGACAAGACTCTTTTTTTTTTTTTGCTCCATCTCCAGTGGAAGAGAGGGTAGCAATGACCCAGTAAAGCATATGAAGTATGTCTTGTGATAACAAAGGCTCCCAAGTCTATTTGTGCTCCTATGGCAGTGGGATGGGTGGCTGTATTTGGTGGACTACCCAATGAGAGCGAATCCTAGGCCATGCCTCTGTGATTTCTGCAGGTACAGACTCTGGGCGGATGCCTGCGCGGAAATGTTTGGAGGTCTTGACATCTGCGCTGTCAAAGCTGTCCACAGCAAAGATGGAAAAGACTATATCATTGAGGTGAGAGCGTGGGGAACCTGAATGCAAGTCTGCTTTGGGAAGTGTATCTGCAAACACACTCCCTCAGAGTTCACATGCACCAATGTGCTCGCTTACCCATGTGCACAGTCAGCAGTCATTGATCCTCGGTGTCCACCTGTTTCCTCCAGTCTGTGGCCCACTGAATATGCTAGAGACCAATTCAAAATCCCAGTTAAATTGGCAGATATGCAGCAAGGGGTCAGGGTTAAAGTGCCTTCATTTCTCAGTGTGGACTGTGAAGGGAAATGGAGAGCCACAGACTGTTTGGCCATCCCAGCTTTCCAGCTGATAAATCCCCACAGTGCAGAACCTCACCAGTGCGAGACAGATGTGAAACTGACTTCTTACTGAGCACTTGAAAAGTCAGTGTATCTCTCATAGCTGCTGGTGGGGATCAACAGCATCATGAACAAACATGCTCGCATTCAGCCCAACCTGAATTCAGGTGCCAGATGACGCTAATATATTAACCTTCCCCCATTACCCACACAGAGGTCCAGCAGGTGATTTCGTCCACTAAAAATCTCAGTTTCTCTCTGAATTAACCTGTCTTTCTCCAATCCCTTTAGAGTGAATCTCAATAGCAAAAATCCTAGCTGCATCTAATTTTAAAGAGTAAAATAAATGGTGAGAGCGTGGCAAAAAGGTCCATAAGTAGCAGGAACAATTTAATTTTAAAAAAATAGGTGTACTTTCTAAAATCTTTTTGCCCAGACAGCATTCACTACAATAACAGACCAGCAAGACAAAGGCACCACAGAGGGTGCACCACTATGGGCAGTGTGAACTACAAATTTTTGTGTTCAGAGCTGGACAGACTGTGGCTCTGAGAGCTAAAGTTCAATGTGCTCCTTGCCAGGCCAGGAGGCAGACATGGGAGTGGGTAAATAGCACACTCAGGTCATCCTAGCAGGGCAGAGAAGGAAAAGCTGGCCAGAAAATCAAAGTGGAAACTTAAGAGACGCTCTGGGGCAGAGAAAATCTGGCAAGTAAGCAAGTGCCTCTGTCACTATGTGACTCAAGGAGGCACAGCATCTGACCTGCTGTAAACTCCACCAACACAGGCCAGCAGAGGAAGATGAGCAGAGCCAGCCTATGGCTTCATGCAGGGGTGCTGACACACTGGAAAGCTATGTGTGGGAGAGCAGTCCCACCCGCTGAGGGTTGGGATGCTGATGAGAACCACATGAGCCCTCCAG